AACACAACGAATAGGAGAGTCAATACAGCAATCATTGAACGCATATTTGAAATTAAATTCAATTTGAAACCAATGTTTAATTAAAGAGTTAATTATTTGTTAAGGTTTTGTTTGTTATGAAAATTGGGAAGATTTTCAGTCTCTTATATACCAAACAAAACGTGTAATTATTGCTGAAATGTTTTGTTTTTACTTGTAATCAATATTTTTCAATTTCCTTAAAAATTGTAAGTATAACTCATAATCTTTAAAATACAATAAATAAATTATTGACAATAGCAATGCATTATTAATCTGATAAGATAGCATATGAATTGTGTGCACACTTATGTAATTCTTATCATCCATTATAGCATTACCTCTATATAACTAATATTTTAACAAAATGTGATAATTATGTGTTGAAAGAGTTGTTTGTTTTTAATTAATAGATTACAAAGAATTTAATGAAAATATAATATTTGTTTTTCTAAATTAATTCATTTCTCATAACTATGAATATAATTTCCAAAAGTGTTTTAATCCAGAAATTTCAAAATGATCATGCAAAACTAATAAAAAAGTGAAATTGATATAATTTGTATTAAAAATTAAGTAATTAAAGAATTGTATAAAACATACATTCAAATGATCAACAAGTTAGTCAGAAATAAAGCTAATATTAAATTATTGTGCAAACTAGGTAGCTACGTACGGATTGAATAGACCTCATAATTTGAGTCATTTTTATTTATAATCTCTATTCAACATTTGTTACTTTTTAAATCAATTCATTGATTAATTTGAAAAAATCTATTACTAATGTCGATGAATAATATTTAAGTTAAACAAAATCTTTTCTAGTAAAATAATTGGTTCAATTATGAGTTTATTTACTGTTAGTGAGTAAAATGTTTAAAATATTCATCATATTAATGATTAAAATGAATTGTAATCGATGAATTGATTTAAAAAGTAAAAAGTGTTGAATAGAGATTATAAATAAAAATGACTCGATTTATGAGGTCCATTCAAATCGTACGTAGCTACCGGATTCTGAGGTTCCTAGTGCAAACTATTGAAAAACTAGATCGATGATTATAATTTTTAAAAAATAAAATAAGTGTATTTAAAAAATTCATAAAAAAAATATCAAACTGTTATTTTCGTAAATATGAAAATTATATGTAAATCTAAGCTTTAAAAGCGATTATATAATAAATTCTTTAAGATATTTCGTTTTTAAATAATAATTGTTCAATGGAAATTTTATTTATTTATTTGATTTATACTGAACAGAAAATCTTAAACTCAATCTAAAGATTATTTAGTTTTTAATCATAAGAAAGACAAAGAAAACATTTATAAAAACAAATATTTACACTTTTGAAAAGATAAATAATAAAAATATTTTATTTGAATACAAGTTATCATCAATTTCACTTTTTTACCAAATATTTCCAAAAATTCGTGAATCAGTGGAAATTTTATTAACAATTATAATACGTGCATTAATTTAGAAAAACACATATAATACCCCGATTAAATGCTTTGATACGAGTTATTTAAAAACACATAATTAGCAAAGTTGTTATTTGCTATATGTATGTATTGTATAATGAATGATAATCATTACATAAGTGTGCACAAAATCAATTTGTTATCTTAAGAGATAATTTATGTATTTCTGGTACTATATATCGTATTCTCATGTTACTTATAGATTATGGATTATATTTACAATTTTTACAGTTAAAAAACAAAACATTTCAACAATAATATCAACTTTCGTTTGGTATATAAGAGACAGAAAATCTTCCCAATTTTCATAACAAGCATAACCTTAACAAATAATTAACTCTTTAATTAAACATTGGTTTAAATTGAATTTAATTTCAAACATGCGTTCAATGATTACTATATTGACTCTCCTATTCGTTGTGTTCACTATTGGTGAGTATTATTACTTTTTAATTTTAAAAAAATATTTTTTATTATAAATTACTATAAATATTATAATTGAATATTAGGTGACTTCAAGAATGTTAACCAAAGATATGCAAAGACTATACCGAAAGTGGCCGACAGTTTTAAAGCCACTTTTGTCAATGAATTTAAGCAAGGTATATTAATTAATTTGTATAATAAGTGATGCCTGCTAATATAACGTCTAATGCAATTATAGGCCACAACGTGAGCACATACCCCGATAACTCAGCCAATAACTGTTGGGTGTGCGACAGTCCCTGTGCTATGATCTACTGTTGCGATGATGGGTACCCCCAGTGCTGTATTGTTGGCGGTTATTGTGGCTGTTGTCGCGGATAAATCACAAATTTATTATTAATACTTGAATTTATATTTAAATTCTATTCATTATTTGTAAATTTCATGCATTTTAATTTTATATTAATAAATTTTATGTTTTTAAATTACTCATTAAAGATATTTTAATTTTTTAGTTAGCTTTCAAATTCAATGATTTAAAAATAATCTATTAAAGTAACATTGAGATTATATTAATTAGTTATTAAATTGTTCATTAAATATTTTATTAAACTAAAAAATGTTTTTAATTAAAAGTATTAAAGTTATTAACAGTAAACCACAATTCTTAATACTGACAAATTGAATTTGGTCTGCCTTACATTGTAACATTGCAATAGCTAGAAAATTAAAGATAAAGTGATTCAATAAGATTAGGACATTGTTTTAATTCAATATTTCCAAAATAAACAAGTATATTTATTGCAGAGATTGTCTTAAGGATGATGTCTGGTTAATTAGTGTATCCAATGTTATATTTATTAATATATTTCATTGATGTTTGAAAGGAATTCAAGTCAATGATAATTAGGATATTGACACAGTATTAGCAACAAAATCTTGCAAAGAATATTCTTAAAAATTTCTAAATTTTTAATTATTACTGGTTAATATAAATAAAACACTGTGTTTGTTCATATCTTTTATAATTTATTATAATTATAATCAAAATCTAAGTTTAATTACACGAGTCGGTTGTATAAGTTTTACTCAAATATTAATATTTTAAAAATGTAATAATAAGTTCTTCCAATATCGCTTAATTGATTGCATGCAATATATTTAATTATTTCGAAATAAATGGAAATTTTAAACAAATAAAATACAATCTTATTTACGGTTAATTAATTCCCGAATGACATCAAACTTATTCCGATTAAAATAAGTTATTTTGAAAAACAAATAACATTGATTAAAGTCTGATATAATTTAAAAACAAATAATACTTTTATAGCAATAGTAACACGATTATAATATGGTTTGAATACCTGTAGACTTATCTAAACTGATAAGAGTTACATAAGTGAGCAGACAATTCATATTTTTCTTATTAACTGATAAGAGAATTGCTATTATTTTTAGCAATAGTAACACGATTATAATATGGTTTGAATACCTGTAGACTTATCTAAACTGATAAGAGTTACATAAGTGAGCAGACAATTCATATTTTTCTTATTAACTGATAAGAGAATTGCTATTATTTTGTTGTAATTTTAAATACGTTAATAAATTACAATTTCTAGAAAAAAGGAAATTATAAACTTCTGATAATATTGTAATAAACAAATTTTTGTCATAAATAACAATAAAATTATGAGTATATAAGCCAGGCAAAACATACAAAATATAACAAACAAAAACATAAGCAACTTTAATAATTGTGCAAGTTAACAAGTTACAAGTAACTTAAATTCAATTCAAACATGCGTTCAATGATTGCTGTATTGACTGTACTTTTCGTTGTCTTCACCATTGGTTTGTATTATAAAAAATTTTAATAATTTTAATTTTAAATAATTTTTAAAAATTCTAATTATATTGATTTATGTAAATATTAGGTGACTTCAAGAATGTAAACCAGAAATATGCAAAGACTATCCCCCGAGTCAGTCAACAATTTAAAGGAACGTTTGCTGAGGACTTTAAACAGGGTATGTCTTATAGCTAACTATAAGTAAAATATGTTTTATTTATAATTCATTTAAACTTAGGAAAGAATTCATCGGCTTTTGCCCTGAACTCTGCAAATAACTGTTGGGTGTGCGACAGTCCCTGTGCTATGATCTACTGTTGCGATGATGGGTACCCCCAGTGCTGTATTGTCGGCGGTTATTGTGGCTGTTGTACGAACTAAACACTAAACACTAAACATTCATTTCATACCATTCTATATATTTCATTAAATTTATAATGTTTTACAATTTTAATATTTATTACAAAATATTATGTTCAATCGTTTAATATAATAAAAGTATTTTAAATATATAACGGATTTTTTATTTAAATACTTTTAACTTTTAAGAGGGAGGGAGAGAGAGAGCACAAATATCTTTAATCCTTTAATTAATATAAAAAGCTTTTGTAACATACATTAAATATATCTCAAACTTTTTATAAATGAATACAAACCACTTTTCAATAATAGTCATTTTGTACAATACATTAGAGAACGTGAGGGCATATCACTTAAAAATATAATAAGTGTCTATACAGTAGAGGTAGGGGCTTTATTAGGTTGTCTATGATTTGACCTACAATACCTAAAATACTAAAATATTAACGGTTCCGACCATCGAATCATTGCATGTGATATATGGTTGGAATCAACTCAATGAGCAGGTTAAGAAATTCACTTTTTGTTCACAACCGTTATACCAATAGATTGGTTCAGATTTTAACATTATAGGTAATCATATTTCATTATATCTTGACATTTTCATTTACACTACCGATATTTATTTACCATATTTATATTTTCCCATATTATTCATCGTGTTATAATTATGAGATAAATATTAAAATAAATCATATGATTACTAAATATTTTTAACGAAATATAATCTTAAATTTACAAATATTAAGTATATTTTAATTATTATTCAAATAAATAAAATTTTCAAATTCTGAAAATAAATACTAAATTAACTTGAATACTAGTAATATAAATAAGAGGTTTATGGTTGTATTACATTTAATTTAATTTCATATAATAATATGTAATATTAATCTATTAAACAGATATCTAATTCAATGGAATTATACTTTCATTTATATGAATGTACTCAATAATTAATACATTTCTATTGTAGAACTAGACCTTTGTTTTGAAGGTTTGTTATATCGCAATTTATTACTATAGTGTTAAGCTATACAACATTTATAATAATTATATTTTTATTATTCTGTTTACAAAATTATTATGATTATTGTTTACTATTGATTGTAAACTTTCCATAATAAAGAATTTATTGCAAATACTAAATCAATGTAAATAAGACAAATTATTGACAAAATTAATACTAAATAAAAAAGTATACTTGTATTTTTACGACCCTATAATTAATCAATTGTTCATCAGGTACACCAACTGATTATTCATAATCAACAAAATCCTCTTAATATGTCATGATAAAAAAGTACTTCAATTCTTCACTTATTATTCGCGTGTATAATAAAAAGGTTAGAAATTATTTCCTTCTGAATAGGAAATCATAAAACTTTTTGATTACCTTTTAAAAACTAAAATATTTGATTATTTTTATTATAGATACGATGCTTTTTATATAGTATATAAGAGGCTAAGTATTACACTAATTCTCATAACGAGTTAAAACATTTAAAAAATAAACTTGCTAAGTGAAAATAAATATCCTGCTCAAAATGCGTTCAATGATTGCTGTATTGACTCTTCTGGTAGTCGTGTTCACTATTGGTATGTATGTCCAGACTGTTTAACAAGCAATTAGCAATTTAACTTATCATTAATAAATATTAGTTTACTTAATCAATGATCACAAATATTTAATAAATATCTTTTCACTGAACTCTTCAATGTATAGGTGAGGCCGTCAATCACGAGAAGTACTCACAAACCATACAAAAGGTGGCTCAAAATGGACAGTCCTTTAGAGCTGGTTAGTACCAAGGCTATTTTATGATTTAGTAAATATATTAAATGAAAACAATTAATTTAAAGGATTAGAAGCCGAGCTCTTTAAGAACTATAAGACCAACGACTGTTGGCAGTGCTCGGGTGGCTGTACTGCCGTCTACTGTTGCGATGACGGATACCCCCAGTGCTGTATTGTGACCGGAAAATGCGGATGTTGTCCCCCTTAAACATGTTGTCACTATTTTTTAGTTAATTATTTGTAAATTATAAACGCTTTCCTAAGTCTAAAACTTAAAACTGTTTAACAGTTATCTACTAATTATATGTTTAAGCAAAAAACTATTATAAAAATATTTGTTATTAAACAATAAGCATTTAAATAAAATTAATTGTGAAATGCATTAAACATACTGTATATCGGCTTTCAAATGATACGAAAACATGTGATGACGTGTGACTCACAATGAGTGCATAAAAATATATGTTATTGTGATTTAAACTACAATTTAGTTAATTATAATAATATTAAGGGATTTAAGACTGTGTTCATAAATGCCAGGAGTCTTGTCCAACATTTTGTTGATAACCAAAGACTTATTGAATGTTATAATATTGATATTTTGTGCATTTGTGAGACAAATCTCAAACAAAGATATAATGATCTCGAGTATCGACTAAATGGTTATCATCTCTGGAGGTGTGAGACAATAGCTGTTAGGAACAGATCCGTGACTAACAAAGATATCGTTTTACCAAAAACTTCTTTAACCACTTTTAAAAACTCAGTATTTTATACAGGTATCGAAGTATTTAATGAACTGGATGTAAATATTAAGATTTCTAAAACTTTTAATACTTTTATCAAAAAATTTCGAAAATTTTAAATATTTTAAAATTTGTATCTAATAACTTATATTATTTATGTTAAACACGTCTGTATTGGAAATGAGCTTATGTTGTATGCATTTCGTGTCTAAATAATAATAAATTTAATTCAATTCATTAATTGTGAAATTGATTTTTACAATATAAAATTATAAAACTTTTTTCTAATTTCTTATATAAATTATTTATTTTCAAATGTTATGAACTTATTATTTAGTTTATGGTTTGGATTTTCAATTATTAAGTCCATTGATATCTACTCTATTGCCTATAAAATTATCAATCAGTTAATCGTATAGCAAATAAGTTATTCATTAAAAGAAAAATTAAAACATTGCGAAAATATTTTGCAAACATTTGAATGAAAGGAAATCACAAAAGAAATTCATTCATCACTGAGAATATTATTTCTATTCATTAGTTTATTCATATATTTAAACTAAATTTTAAGGTCTTTTCATTTGTTTACTATATCAAAATCAAATGAATATCAAATAAAACTCATGTATATTTGTTATTTTCTAGTTTATAAAGCGTTTTGTTTAAATTATTTAATGAAAAATATTATTATTATTTGATACATGTTTTTGAAAATGTTTTGATAATTTATTTTAAAATAAAATTTATATAAAATTCTATTAATTAATATCTTATTAATGTTTGTGAATTTGTTTTATTGATGTAGAATAATGTCTTTTTTAATGATTCAATAAGAAAATCAATAAAAATTATACTTTTGTTACATTATTAGTCTAGTTATTTCTGGTAATGTTATCGACAATTTGCAAGTTTTCATAATAATAATGAAAAGACAAAATTCTTAAACTATTGAAAGCAATCATATAAGAATAAAATAAATTCATACTCAATAAATGTAAACATATTTCATGTCACACTTACATTAATAGTGATTAACTTAATCAATGACTGATTATAGGAATATTCTCGTACCTTTAAATGACTTATTAATTCTGATAAAATATATTTTACATCAAGGTATACTATACTTTTACTAAAATTATACCAAACAAAGAAACAAATAATAAACAATGCAATAATATACTAAACAAACTCTGATAAAATGCGTAATGAACTTATTATCTGTATACTATAGTTTGATCTAGGAAGATTTTCTGAGCGAACAATTGATTTCACAATAATTATGAAAATTTATTTGTTTGTATGAAATATTCATATTTTGAAATCATATATAAGGAGACACAAGAAGTGCCACAAAACAACAAATAACATAACATTCGCACAAATATATCAATACTTTGTAT